ACAAAAAAAAGTAGTTTCATTATTCGAACTCACTGCTTTTATTTATTTACTAAAATTCATTCAAGACATCATTCGCTATAAGTACAATTTGTTTATCATGAAAAAACAATATTTAGCAACTACTGCTCATATAATCACAACAGCTTATCTCTATCAGGTACATTGATTTTCAATTCACATATGATGTTTTTCTTTGTATTTACTTATTCGTTACATTTTTAACTTCAGATTTATGGTGTATTTATTTGCTATAGAAGATCAAATCATTTTGAATTTTTTCAAAATATCTACTCCAATCAACATTTAAAGTTCAATGTTGCATATACCATTTTTAAGTAGCTTCTAGGCTTTTTTGATGCTTTTCTTATTCAAGTGGTTTTATAAGCAAGGTCTGCAAGCAAATTTTAAACTTAAAAGTTTTTCAGCTATCAATGTTGTTCTCTGTTTAATTTGTTTAAATAGAGTAGTTTAGTAAATAAATGTTTGTTTGTTCTTGATTTTTTACTTATTTGTTTTCAGATTCTTAAGAACTAAGCAACATAGCAAAGCAAGATTTATTTTATTCTTTAGTGCAATTGGAAAGAGCTAAAGTGCTTTTTAGTCGCATCAATTGTTTCTTTTTTTAAATAGAAGGATTAATAATAAAAATATTTTGACAGTCGAACTGTGACTGATTTGAGTAAGACTAATGTTTTGTTTAATTTTATATTAGATATATTTTTTATGTGTTTAATATGGAAAACTGACTGTAATTTTTGACAGGTAAGTTTATATACATAAATGTGCCTATATATCAAAATATTTTATATTTCTCTGAATCTATATGAATATTATCTCAAAGAAAAAATTAAAAAAAATATAAAAAATTTGAATGTATATACATACATATATATTACTTTAGACTGACATTGCTTTATTTTTTATACAAGATTTATTATTTTTGTGCATTAAGATTGTGCCTGAAGGCTTTCTAAATTTAGCAAAGAATTTAGAACACAATGCAAATTACTTTGCATTGTGTTCTAAATTCTTTGCTAAATTAAAATAATGTCAATAAATTTTGTTTTATATTTTTCAGTTGTAAAAATACAAAACGTTCATTTATTCAGTTCTAACAGTAGTATATTCACTGGTAATATATATTTAATGATAACAGATGTATAATATTAGGCTCGAAAAAGTTATAAGTGTAAGTGGTTATAGGTGAATAGAAATAGTTGTCATATGAAAGAAATAGATCTAGGCGTGATAAAATTAATTGTCGTTGAAATATAAGAAGTTTTGCTTGATGAACCGAAAACATACTTGCCAGAATTCAGTGTCAAGCAGTGTTGATGTCTGTTATTTGACTTTACATTAGACTCTTTAAAATAAAGCAAAGCATGAGTTTTACTATTTATAGTAACAAATAATAACAGTTTCAATTTTAAATAATTTTAATTTTTTTGTTGTTTTTTTTGTTTTGTTTTTGTAAACTTAAACATATTTGTGTTCATTTTTTTTTTTAGTTGTCTTTGTCGTCACTTGATTATTTTGGTTACTGTTAAAACATGGTTTTAATTTTGTTAATTTAATATGATGTGAAAGTTACAATATTATTCATTTGTCAACAGTTGGAGAGAAGCTGGAACTTAATTAAGAAATGCTGGACATTAACTTTTAGTTAAGGTAAAAATAATTTTGATTATTGGTAGCATAATAAAACCAGTTACTGTTATTTATTGCATGACTTTTTTATTTTTTATAACATGCTGTTTTTAAAACACTTCCTGTCTCTTTCTTAGATGAAGCCTATTAACAATTAGTATATAGAGAAATATAGAGAGAGAATTGATTAAACTCTGTAAATACTGAGCTCTTGCGTATTTTTTAATACTGCGATTGATAATTTGCTATTTAAAGATATAATTCTTTTAATTGTCCCTAGGTTGTTCAAATATTGTAATAAATAAAATCTTTCAGTTTCAAGTATTTTTTTTAGGGATCGTCTATATGTTATCATGGTGGCCACAGTCCTGGAATGTCCTGGATTTTTGCAAGTGTCCTGGAATGTCCTGGAAAATTACATTTTTCTTGAAGAATGTCCTGAAATGTGCTGAAACTTTTTTTTTCTAAGTCAAGTTAAAATATTACTAATAATATTGAAGTAATATTAAATTTTTTATGCGAAAATTTATTTTATATAAATGGTTTGAATTTAATTTTAAATAAGATAGTAATAATAATATAATATTATATTCTATAATTCAATCAAAATGAAAAAAACATTACGTAAAGATAATTGATAATATTCATTTAATAAGATATAAATTGTCCTGGAAAACGCAACAAAATGTCCTGGAATTTAACTTTTAGAATTTTGTGGCCACCATGTATTACGTAACGCGAAATTAAACATATAGACAAAAGAAATATCTCAAAATCCGTCTTTCACTAATGCTGTCAACTATATGCTGCATTTTCAAGAACTATAGCATTTAATAGTTTGCTTTTTAAAATTGATAAACATCTTATTCGAGGTATAGTAGGTAAAATAATGTAACATAAATATTGTTATATTTTTTAGTTTTCTTAATTTATAGTCTTTAGATTTTCATTTCGAAAATTTACTGTTAAAGGTTGTGAGCACATTTTGTATGTATAACTTTATTTATCATTATTTATTTTTTTTCATAGTTTTTGGTAAATATATCTATCATTCAATAGTTGTAAAATGTGTTTATACGTGTTACATAAAGTCATATTTGTTTATAGTTGTTTATATGTTTAATTTCAAAAGCTAAAACAACAATTTATATCTTAGTTTGATTTTTTTTTATAGTATTGTTAATGCTTTGGTACTTCGAAACAGGTTTTATAATTACATTTTCGATAAATCCTTAACTGCAACTTCAAAATAGGTTACTATAAATAGGTAAATCGATTTTTGGTAATTGTGTGGTGGTTTTTGTTTTGTTTTTTACTTTGTAACTATGATATCATAATTTCATTACTTTTTTATTTTAGAAATACGTTAAGACGCATTTGTAAGATTTATAAAATAAAAAAACCTGATTTCTTTTTATTGTAAGTTTTTGTTAGATAAAAAGATATTAATATATACTATTAGTTAATTTTATATTTTACCTATTTTATGTCTAATAATATGTTGTACGTATTTCTAAGATTTATAAAATAAAAAAACCGATTTCTTTTTATTGTAAATTTTTGTAAGTTAAAAAGATATAAATATATGCTATTAGTTAATTTTATATTTTATCTATTTTATGCCTAATAATTTGTTGTACGTAAAATAAGGGGATTTTTGTAAATGGGGGGTCGTAACTGAAAACCTTTAAAAATATGGAGAATATTGTAGTTTAGCGCATTAATATCGAATTACTTAAGTTTTATTTATGTGGTTAACTAATTAGTTAGCTTAGTCTGTATTTGCAACACTTTTAAGGAAAGAAAGAAAACATTTTTATATATGTAGATCATTATTTTACATTTTATTATTTTATTTTATTCACCTGGCACCATTAAAGCAAAAAGAGGGGATGAACCTCTATATTTGAATCAAAATATTTAGGAAAATTAAATTTCGAGTTACAAAAGGAATTTTTAGTAAATGGCGGCAAATTACCGTTTACTAAAAAATTAATGAAATAAAGAGGCCAAACAAATAATATAGAAATGGTCTTTGTTGAACAAACCCGAAAATAATTCCGCTTAAAAACACATTTTTTCAAAATACGGGTTCATCTAATAAACAATTTTTAAAATTGATGCTTCGCACGCACAGGGTTCTTACATGTAACACTTATTTTTTCAAAGTTATTGTTGGTTAGTCTACTGTGCAAGCAAAAAAGATTTATACAAGTGCATAATCTACATTGCATTATTTTAATGGTATTACTAAAGTTAGACAACCTGCGGCTTGCAAGCCTCATGTGGTTTTTCTGATGTTAAGATGCGGTTCTTAAGCTCCATGCACATTTAATAATATACTATTAAAATAATGTTGTTAGAAACTCTTTAAAAACTGAAATACTTTGAAGTTTGTAAGTTTTAGCTATTCCGTCTCTAAAGGTTGCCGAGTCCTTATTTATGCAGTTGTAAAATGCATTTTTTGTAATACTAGATTAACTGTGAAATTGGATCAATTCTAAAGTTAAAGTAAAGAGGATTGGCATATTTGATATTGCGACTTTGCGCTGCATATCAATAATGATAAATATTTAACACTCAGATCAAAATTAATTCAATCGGGTGAGAGGGAAGCGGTCATCAAATGTTAACATCAATTTTTGAAGGAAAAGGAGGGGCGCTAGAAAATTGACAAGTTGTTTAAAAGGGGAAAAAGAATGATATGTTAGACAAAAAATTGTTGAGGATAACACCCTATCTGTAAACAACTTACAGCAGTTTAAAAAATGGTCTCAACAACCTCTGCAGCTTATTTAATTCTTAAGATATTATATAACATTATAATTTACTATAATTATATATTGTAAATTAACTATTTTATGTAATTTATCCTTTTTTTGTTTACAGAAAAATTATTCGCTTAACTTTAAGTAGCCTAATTTGAATTAAAAAAAAGTTACTTAACTAGTTCTTCTAAACTTAAAAGCTAGTAAACTAGTTTTAGTTAACTTAAAAAACAGTCGACAGTTTTTAGTTTAACTAAAAAGTTAGTTGACTAATTTTAGTTACCTAAAAAGTTAGCTATTTTTTTTTAGACAAAAAAATAAAAAAAGTTAACTAAATTTTGATTAAATAGAAAGTCAACTATAATTACTTCTGCTAAAAGTGAGTCAAGTAATTTTAGATTTCACGTTTTTTTTGTATTGTTAATTACGATATTTACTTTTGGTCACAACATTATAATAAAATAAGAAGTCGTTGTAGTTGTTTTTTTAGTTTTTTAAAGAAAAAGTACTAACTCTGAAAAAAAATAATTTGAAGAATATAAATTCTATGCTAAATGAAAAATAATTAGTTTATAGTGCAGAGTTACGTGCAAATTCGAACAACAAATACAATAAAATTAATATTTTTAATTTTTTTTTTTTACGTTTGTAGTTTTAATTCTAATGTTATCGTATAAAAACTTACAAAAGTTGCATTGTCTATACGCAAAGTATATAAAGATGTATATAAATTTTATTTTTTGTTATTTTTTGAAAGCAACTATTTAAATTTTATAGTTTAATTATTTACATTAAATCTTTCCAATTAATTCTTTGACTCCAAGTCTCGTTTGTAGATTTTCGAAAAAATAATCCTTCGTCGTTTCCTAAAAAAAAGATGTCACTTTTTTAAATATATTATACGTTATGGTATAGAACTTTTAAAATATAACAACTTACCTTAAATAGAGTAACTAAAAATAGTTTTATATAAAGTATAATACCTTATGTTATTATTATATGTTATTATTGTTTTATAGCTTGATATAGAGTAACTAGAAGTAGATTAAATAGAGTAACTTTTGATACTCTACCCGGGGACGGTGGCAACAATTTTTAATGTTTGAACTAACTATGAGACATGAAACAAACTCCAAAAATATTTTACATTATTCTTATGTCAAATAAAAATGCTTTACAAGATATGCGACGATTAGAGCATGGGAACAAAGAGAACTAATTTTTTTTGCGGCAAATACATAAAACGTAGGAGTAAAAAGTTGATAAAATATTTTTTTAATTATTCTAAACTAAATTTATATTTATTGATATTTTAAAAACTTATGCCATAATCTATTTGCGTTCAGAACTTATGACTTTTTAAAGGTTTAACCCTTTCAAGCTGAAGAAGTTATAAATTTTTCACAATTTTTAACTCTTAAAAAAACATATATGAAGATTAAAATTTTTCTGTTATGAGAGTTTTTTTAAACTTTTTAATTTTTTTAGAAATTTAAAATGTTATTATGTGGAAAACTGTTCCGTTTTCCCTTTGATGTTCTTCAAAAATAATTCGTATTAATAATAAAAGCATTACGCTGAATTTCATTTTTATTTAAGTAAAACATTTTAAATTGTTTTTTGGATATATAATTAAAAAAAAAAAAAAAATGGAATAAAAAAGAGACAATTACACAAAAAACATTTATTGAATTTTTTAACATATATTTAATAACGATGGGCTAAATCTTTCTGGGAATGTTTGTGGATATGTTTGTATTATATATTGTAGATATCGGATAACTGTTAGGATAATTTATCGTTGTTATTTATTATGAAATGAACCAACAATATGCTGAACTGTTCATTTCTTTTTTTTTTTTTTTTTTATGGAAAACCATTTGTGATCGTAACGTTTTTTGATAAATAAACAAACTTTGGTTGTAAAATTAAATTTTTTAAAGTTGCCTAAAGTAAAAATAGAGTATAACCAAACCTTAATCTCAATAACTAAATCCAGTTTGATAAAAATTAATAAACTTTCCTCTGTAAAAAGATTATGCAATTAATTGTTTAAGTTAACAACAACAACTGATGGCTATTGAACATTTATAAGAGTTACATCACGCACTTAATGCCTAAGTAAAGTTTCTAAAGTTGAGGATTTAGTTTGCAAATCACGTTAAAGCTATGATTACTGCTGTAAGAGGCAAGTACCAAAAATTAGTTTGCATATTCCTCAACAAGGTGTTTCCTGCATTTACGTTCTGCTCTATTTTTATAACTTCTGAATTAATGAAAGCACTAAAGTTATTCAAAACAGAACGCTCAAGGATGCTAAACTTTAAAAATATGGGTAAACGAAAAAATACCATTAAAATAGACATCCTAGAAACACTTTTGTTTGTTATTTGTGTAGATAAATAGTTATTGGTGATGGAATTACAAGGACCAGGCAATATAGGAGTTGTGATATTCAACGAGCTGCATAACAGGAATCGGGTTGACAAGTTTTTTAAAATGTTTTTTCTTACTAAAATAGATCTTAAAACGAAAAGCAAGGTATTTTTCAAGATACTTTTAATCATTCCTTGCAAAGTTTTTTTATTGAATGTAAACTTTTTGCCTCAAGTTACAAATTATACACGCTTGAGCTAAAAGTTATTAAAATCTCATAAAACTTTTTATAAATATATTTAGCATTAGGAGCAAGCGTTAATGGTATAAAATCGTCCCATCGCTCACTAAAAAAGAAATAAATTGGTAAAGTTGGGTTTTGCTTTTAATCCCATTATTGTGAAGTTCACAAATATGATTTTGACACATTGACTTAGCAATGTTTTTTATTTTTATTTTTATTGAAATCATAGTTTTTCCATCCAACATTCTTGTATAATTAGCATTATTGTTGTTACAAACTTTTCCCTAACCCTAACCCCAACCCTAACCCTGATGGTAAATGTCTGCTTCTATTTTTCTTTGATACTGCTAACTAATTTCCCATCAAAATGAAGAATAAATTTTTTACCTCCTTATTTTTTATTTTTTTTCATTTACTTAACCTTAAATCAAATATTAAAAATTTAATTCTAACTTACAAAGTTAATTTTGGTGTCACTTATATGGTTAATGACAAGTCAATGGAGTGACACCGTAATAAAATAAACAAATAAAATTAAAAAAATGGTAAAACAAGGAAATGATAAAGTAAACTACATCAACACAAATAATAAAAAAAGAAGTCAAAAGAACATTATTATTAAAAAAAGTTGGAGTCAGAGCAAAAATAAGAGAAAATAAAAATTTTAATCAAGTATGTTCAGAAAGATAGAGTGAGTGAAAAAAAATGTTTGTAGAAAAATATAAAAAAACTTAATATAGGCAAACTCAAATAACATACATACACTATATATAAAAAACATATATACATACACTATTACATACAATATTAAAGCCTATACTACGCATTACATAAATGAGTTAAATAAAAGTAAATATTAAGATATAGAAAAGCAACAACAACTAAATTGATAGAGAAAAATGCAAAAAAATAAATACATTTAACATTTTTTATATACAAAACTCACGACATAAAATATTGACAAGATTAACTAATTGTTTTTTTTTTTTTTTTTCATTCCATAAAATATTAATGGTAAAAAAAATCATAGTTCTTTTTCATTATTTTCCATTTTCGAAGACTTTTTTCTATTAACTATTTTTTTTTGTTTCGGTTTTTTTTTCTTGTTTGTAATTTTTATTTATTTAAATCCTTTATTCTTGTTTATATATATATATCTTTTAAACTTTTAATACCAAAATTATTTTTGATTTATTTTTTCTTCATAAAACTTTTTTTTTTTCACTTTCCACTGATAAACAAACACTTCTTGCATTTGCGATGTCACTGCAAAGAACCTTATAAAATTAAATTGTAAAATTCGTTTTTATAACTGTCGAGTAGTTAATTATTTTTTGTGCTACAGTTTCAAAACTTATAAATTGCTTTAACAGTTTGCGGCTAACGTGGCGGCTGTGAAAGGTATGCTTTAGTTTTGCGAACTCGTTCATATCCATTTATATCTTTGTAATCTTTATAATAAACCTACTTTTAAACAGGGGCAAACAAATTCTCCTTAAGTCAAATGAAGGATTTATAAGAAATGCATGAAAATAAGATAACAAAAATTTTTAATAATTGTATACAAAAACTAGAAAGCGAACTGATTACTATAAAAGAAGAAAACAAAGAACTAAAACGTGAACTTAATAAGACAAATAAAACTATCGAGTTTGTTAGTGAACAATACGAAACAATAACCGAAACATTAAATAATACTAAAAAAGATGGACTCAGTCAACTAAATCAAAAATATTTAAACAAAGAAAATAAAGCACTAAAAATAAAATTGCTGAGTTAGAAAACCAAAGTAAGGAAAATAACTTGCGATTTGAGGATATTGAGGAAATCGAAGGCAAAACATGGGAAAAAAGCAAAGGATTAATTAAGATTCTACTGAGAGAAAAAAATGGATGTTAAAGAAGGTATACAAATTGAAAGAGCGCATCGTGCTGAAAGAGAAGAACACAAAAAAGGTAAGCGTAAAAAGCAAGCTATTATTGTCAAGTTTCTCAATTTTAAAGATCGTGAAAACATTCTCGAAAAATACAAAAAAGAACAAATTGTGGAAGGAAAATATGTATATAAACGAAGATTTCAGCGAGCTGACTACTAGTATTCGCAAACAACTTTTCCGTCAAGTAAAAGATCTACATGCATCAGGTAAATTTGCTAATGTTGTGTACAATAAAATAATCACTAAGCCATCTTAAAACAAAGTATATCCACAGTTATTTATAACAGAATAAAAAAAGTAAACAATAATAAAAAATTAATTCGAAAAATAATAATTATTTTGAAATTTTGCTTTTAATTTTCTTCAATTTAATGATTTAAAATCGGATGAAGAATCCGATCCAGGCATAAATTACATTAACAAAATTAATTTGCCTGAATTAGTTTGCTCTTATTTTTAACCAAATGAAGTTAGTAATTTTATAGGATTGGATAATAAAAGTAATTATATTACAGTCATTCACGTGAAAATTAGAAGTTTAAAATAGAATTTTGAAAACTTTTTAAATTTAATTGACAAAACCAACAATTGTTTTAATGTAACTTGGGTAACCAAAACCTGGTGTTTTAAAATATATTTTGAATCAAATTCTAATCTCCTTCTCCCAGGTTTAGAAGAAATTTTTTGAGAACGAAAGAATATCAGACGCGGAGGAGGAGTACTTTTATATTTGAAAGAAAATATTTTCTTTAAAGTTGGAAGTGATACGAGTGTTTTTGATACGGATCAAGAGATCTTAACAATTGAACTAATAAACAAAAATTCTAAAAACATTTTAATCAGCTCTTGCTATAGGCCATCAACTGGTAGAACAGAAAATTATGATAAATTTTTGAAATACAATCTAATAGAAGGAACTAGCCAAGAGAAAAAAAAAAAGTTTTATTTTGGGTGATTTCAATTTGGATTGATTTAAATATAGGGAAAACCAAAAAATAAAATCATTTTATAACAATTTTTTAGAAATGGGAACCCTACCAATGATAGATTGACTAGCTAGAATTACCAACCATTCGTCAACTTTATTTGATAATATGTTTACCGCAGACTGTTTTCATAAATTTCTAAGAAAAAAGAATTGTAAAAACTGATGTTTCTGATCATTTTTCCATATTTTTTTCCTTTAAATCAGATCATCAATTAAAAAAGCGAGTATAGAATGACAATTAAAAGCAAATTATTAACAATTGTAACTTAAAATCATTCAAAGATCAAATTTTATAGCAGGATTGGAAACACAAAAACTTTAA